GAGGAAAGCACAGGTCAGCTGAGGACGAGGGCAAGAGGGGAAGGCAAAGGAGGTTAATCTCAAAGCCCTGTACTGTGAGTATAAGCAAAAATGGCAGCACTGTGCTACACTGATTATTCCTGTGAAAGAGGGAGGACTGGGACTGTGGGTCCTGTCCACAAGCTGCTGCCTGGCTTCTTCCTGAAAAAGAGAGGAAAAGGACAGGGTGTGTTCCTACAGGCAAGATCCCTCTCCCTCATCCTAGAAAAGCATCTTTTCCAGATGTGCATGTCTATTCCTTCATGGAATAGCAGTCTAAGGGCTGCCCACAATGAGACTGGAAAGCCAGGCTATGAGGGAGAGAACTGTGACTTTCGGCAATACCAAAGTAAAGCCACACTACAGTGCTGATGGAAAAGAAGGGGGAATGGAGAGGAAAAACTAAAACAACAGTGCAAGGCACATGCTCTGCTAGAAATGAAGGTGGGAAAAGGGAGAGCAGGCACAAGCAGCTAGAGAAAAAGGACTGGGTCTTACCAGGCTGTGAGGAGCTCAGCAACGTTGAGGACACAGTTGAGGTGGCAGAAGGAGCAGGAGATGGCACTGTGCTGGTTTTGGCTGTGGTGGGTGCAGAGGACTCTGCTGCAAGAGACTCTTGTGGAGCACTTGTCACTGGGGATGAGGGCTTGGGCCTCAGGGTTGTAGGTGTAGGCCTGGGGCTGGTGCTTGGAGCTGCTGTGGAGTAGACTGTGGAAGTGGGAGCAGATGGCAGCCGGGTGCTGAGTGGGCTGCTGGGGGCAGGTGGAGAGCTGGGATTTGGAGATGTTGTTGTCAGAGGGAGTTCTGTGCTGCTTGGTGGGCTGGTCTCTGTGGAGACAGAGGTCTTGGAGGTGCTGCTGATGGAGGTGGCAGCTGTGGTCTTCTGTGTGGTCAGAGTTGGCTCAATGTGTGGCACAGTTGACTTTTTATGGGTGAAGGCTGTTGGGAGGAAAGCAGAGGTCACCTGAGGATGAGGGCAGAGGGTAAGGCAGAGGAGGCTGGCACAATGCCTTGTACTGGAGGCATGAGCAAAAATGGCAGCACTGTGCTACACTGATTATTCCTGGGAAAGAGGGCAGACTGGGACTGTTTCTCCCCAAAATGGCATCTTGCCTGTTGGTGCTTTCCAACAGGCAAGATCCCTCTGCCTCTTCCTGGAAAAGGACCGATTTCCGGATGTGCATGTCTATTCCTTCACGGAATAGGCAGAGTCTATGGACTGCAGAATCCGAGACTCAAAGGCCAGGCTATGTGGGAGAGACCAGTGCAACATAGCAATACCAAAGTGAGGCCACACTACAGTGCCAATGTGAAAAGAATGGGGAGTGGAGAGCAAAAACTAAAAAAAC